ATCTCCTATTTTTGAGAAACGCAATATAATGGACTGTAACAACTAGAGAGGTATAAGTCTTCTCAATGGCACATACAAACTTTTTGCTAAAATAATTACTAAGCGACTGAATAAAATCTCTGAAGTACCATTACAAGAAAAACAACATGGGTTTCGTAAAGGATGCTCTAGTTTTTATGATTAAACAAATTATACAGAAACATTGAAAATTGAATTATAACAGAAATAGAAAAAAACAGAAACACAGTAAATTAAAATAGAGAGAATTGAAAGGTGATGTTTGAGAAATTATGGCACAATTAAAACAGATTGAAAAGGAGGTAGTTGTCAGAAAAAGTACGATTGGGAATGGGTGAAGCTGAATGTAAGAAGAAATGGTAGGATCAGTGTGTTGAAAAAAACTGGAGGTAAATGAGGCCTTGAAAACCTGTAAAATGAAAACCATAAATAAAATAAGGTATGATAAGATAATATTGGATTTTAAAGAGTTTTATAATAACAAAAAGAGAGATTGGAATGACAGAAAATTAAGTGTGGTAGGAGAGGTTAAATCTCAGAGTGAAGCTGGGAAGTATTAAGGAGAGAGAGAGAGAGAGAGAGAGAGAGAGAGAGAGAGAGAGAGAGAGAAGGTGAGAGAGAGAAAGAGAGAGGAAAAGGTTAGTGGATAATTAGAAATGAAATAGACTTGAAAGAATGGTACGAATGTTTTAAGGAAAGATTTGAAGTACACGATAACATGTAAGAGATGGAAAATGAAGTGAGTCCAGGGGAATATAAGAACTTAATACGAAACATAGAGAGGACAGAAAACCGTTGTGGAACATTATTTTGAAGTTAGGAATTGATGAGGAGATCATTAATTGCTTGAAAATAATGTAAAAAGAAATGATTTGTAAGGTGATGAAAGAAGGTAAATTTAGCAATAAGTTCTACATCATTAAAGGAGTTCAGTCAGGGTTTCCCATTGAGTCCCATTCTTTTCAATTTATGTATTATAGGTTTAGAAGAGAAGTTAAGGAAGGGTGGGTTACTGATTTCATTAAGGAAAAATCTCAATCGTCAATATTGTAGTTGTTTGAAGACTTCCCAAAAAATTGCCCTTTGCAATTTCCACAAATCTGGGATTTTGACGAACATGAGACTTTTACCATTCTCTTTAACACAAATATTTATTTCCTGATCTAATATATACATTTCAGTTGCCGTCTGTCTTAATCTAAATTCTATCATACTACATTACTGCTGTATGCCTTTTTTCTATACTACTGCCACTATTTACAATATTTGCATTGTTGATTATTATTTACAATATGTAAGCCTAGTCGAATGGATCTTCCGATCAGAATCTTGTTTTGAGTAGCGTGTGTCCGGCATTGATCCTCTTGCATATTTTCATATACTTTTTCAACTCACTATCACTTAGACTGCCACCAATTTCTCGCTTTCACTTCACTGACACTGGGGGCACACACTTCCTATGCGGGGGCTCCTGCTGGTCGTCTGGTGTTGCTGCAGGTCTTTTCTGTTGTTCCATAGCTAGCTGCCTATTTCGGGGCGGGACGGGGCGCCTCTGCGGATTCTGTCCCGCACTATAATTGCACTCACGCGGGGCCAAGTGTACATTGCCGGTGTGCGTGTAGTAGCACGCCATCAACGGCCTCAGTGATTCTTCATTCTCTTAAGGGTTTTAGGTTGTGGCCGTCTGCTACTTTCTTTAGTGCGCACACCATTCTCCCAGTGCCTCTACCGCAAATAAGAGCACTTCGGCGCTGTGATAACCGAACTGTGATAACGGTTTTGAGGTTGGCCTGGATGGCTTCGTATTTTTGGCTCTTTTCTTCTAACTTGCTTTTAAGTCTGCTCTCTCATGCGTCAGGCACCGCGACGTCCGCACGAGTGCCACTCTGCCCCGCGAGAGTTCGAGATCAGGACGATAGCTGCCCAACACAGCGTCCTTTACGATATCCGAGGACAAAATTTGGTTCCAATTTTGAGAATTTTTTTATGGTTCTCAGGCTTCATGAAAAGTATTCTCAAAAATCAAAATACACATTTGAAACTTCTCATGGTTCGAGTTCGATCAGATGGATTGCAGAATATCAATTTTGAAGAAAATCGACTGAACGGTTTAGGCGCTAGTGTTGACCACATATGGACGGACAGACAGACACGTTTTACCGTCAATTATTTTTCGGTGTCGAGGAGCCACAAAACATGGATATTGGCTACACCACGTGTTAGAAAAAGTAATTGACTGTGTACTCGTATAGTAACATGATTTATCCACTTTTTCGTTACCAGTGCCCGACAATAAATGTTTTTCTGTCGAAAATTCGCCGTTTTCTTGCATATGATTACAATACTTTCTCTTCTTACGAAATAGACGTTCTCGAACAAGTTAGTTTTGTAACCTAGTTAGCCTAGGCCAGTTCTTAGGAGTTGCCTCACTCTCGTCCCAGTTGCTACCAATCGTCGCCAAAATGTCCCTTTTTCACTTTATCTCAGTTTTTCCATCCCTAATTCTAGAGTTGATATGTCTCTATGAAATATCACAGATGAATAAAATATATATCAGTATGCAAAATGTAATTGCAAAATTTGAAGCCATTTTTATGAAAATGTCCTTTGACCGATTCTGAAAATGCGCATTTTTGTGCTCATTTTCTCAGAAAAGATTTGAGTTTTCCACAAACTTCATAAGAAATAATTTGAAGCTCTTCTGTTTTATTTGCAATAATGTTTAGAAAATGCACTTACTGGAAATATTAAGAACATGAGAAACATTTCAAAAATTACTTTTGTACAATTTTTGAAAAATGAAAAGAATGCATCAAATTGGCGTGCATTTGTGTAATTTAAAAAAATCTGTACAATACAGTAAAATGGAATTTATGTAATGTTATTCAGTGCATGTAGCACTATCCGTACAAAAGAATTAAATATGAAATTTTAACCCGTTTTTGAGAAAAATTTGGTTTTAATTTTTTTAAATCCCCATATTTCACTCAAAATTATGCGAAATTGATCCATATTTTAAAAAATGGAATACGTCCTCATTTAAAAATATGATTTTGAACAAGACATTTTATTCAGAGAAAAATATCTATCTTGGATACTGTAGTTTTAAATGGAAAAAATATTGAGCTTTTGCAATTTTCGAAAATTTAGATATTCTAACGAAATAGAGACCTGCGTCAGTTTCGCATTTCTTACGCTTTCAGAGGAGTTTAGAGCGATGTTAGAGCAAAAATTGAAAAAGCCCTTGAAATGTAAAGTACCACTAGAAATTAAAACATGGCTTTCGAATTCAAGGGGCCACGATATCAGTCAGATCGACTGAGAAATGTCAATTTTGGTAAAAATACTTCTTACGGTATAGACGCTAGCGTTGTTCCCACACAGATATAGAGATGTTTCATCGTAAACCAATTTTTCGGTATGAAGGACTCAAATGAGGATTCCCTCTGCACATTGTTTTAGAGTAAGTAAGACACTGCAAAGAGGAATCAGAATGATCTCTTTCTCGGAATAAGAGATCGCCGATTTTCGTTGCAGCAATACATAACTTTCTCTGTACTACATATGTATGTAGTCGTATGTATATGCAGGTATATGTATTAGCAGGGAAGTAAACTTCCGAGTCTGAAGGAAAAAGGGAAGTAAAGGGAGCAATAAACGATAGAACATTATTGTCTAAATTAGTGACCCACGACTTAAAACATTTAGAGAAACGATACATCTGTAGCTTCCTATGACATGAATTTGAATCAGTTTCCTTTCTCGCTCTTCCCCTCCCTCCCTCTCNCCCCCCCCCCTCTCTCTCTCTCTCTCTCTCTCTCTCTCTCTCTCTCTCTCTCTCTCTCTGTGGAATATGCTTCTCTTTTTATTTCATGTTTAGGTGATTCCTGACGCTTGAATCATGGGAAGTTAGTCACGTCACAAGAGCTTATCAGCTTATATTTACTCTCACCATCGTCATAGATTCCACGAGCTGTGTAGCATGCATGCATGTCGAATGTGATTTCTGGACAAATATTTGTACAGTTTTAGTTCATATCCTACTTATCGCTGCTCTCAAGCTGTTACAGCAAATCAAAAGTATAATTTAAAAGTTTGTATTTTTTTAAGTAAAGAGCGCAGAATATCTAGCTGTTTGAATATTTGCTGTGCTATTTTATTTTCTGAACTAAAGTCAGTATTGTCAAATAAGTCCTTTCTATTAACCCAGATCTACAGTTTTGATGCAGTCAATCCTAGAATATTGCTACCGAATAAGTAAAAGGTAACAAATAATAATGGGTTTTCTTTCCTACATCCCATTCCAAAATATTTTCTAATGACAAATATTACAGTATATAAGTAAAACACAAAAGTCCAGACTAAATTACTTTTCTCCATGACGAACAAAATACCTATTTTATCAAATGAAATCCACCGTGTGACAAGGAATTACAATTACGATTTTAATAAAGTTACCGACCTTTTGAAATAGACTAAGAGGAAGTACGTCTTTTATTGAAAGCCTAGGAGGTATAAGGATGGAAACAAAAACTGATTATAATTTCCCTATACTGGAACAAGAACCGATTTTATAGTATCGACGATAGAATAAGTAAAGGTAAGAAATGATCAACTCAAATTCCCTAACCTCAGCCACCGCAAAGGTTCTAATGACGGAATTGAAGTTTCTCTGAAATAGCAGCAGCTCGTTACTAGACACCTCCCACCCGAAACGCAAAATCGCCGCGCCCACTTAGGGAAACAAGCCGAATCCGGCGGCGGCAGAAATTCCCAGCTGGCCGCATGACGTGCTTTACGCGCCGCGTTATCGGGCGGGGCGCGGGCGGGGCGCGGGCGGGGCGCGGGCGGGGTGGCGAGGCAGCCGAGCGCAAGGCGCGCGGCAGCACCCGGCGTCGCGTGGCGTCGCGCGGCGCACAGCCAAAACAACCTTGCGTTGCCTCCAGAACGCGGCGTTTCGCGGCCGGCGGAGGAAGTCGCGACCGGGGCTGCGCGTAACCGCAGTTTCCGGGACGGTCGGTGGCGGCGGCGAAGGCGAGGGTGACAACGACTCCGTCGTTGGTGGACGTCGAGCAGCCAGACCAGTCGCGCGGAGAAGTGTTCTTCAGCATGGGACGGGGCGCGGCCCCCGCCCGCACCAGGTGAGACGCTGCGCCCGGCCGGGCGGAGGGCCCACGGGGCCGCGCGTGGGGACGGCTGCAGTGCCCACCGTCTCGTTCCTGCTCGACCCTCCGCTTTCGATCCTGTGAATTACGTAGTTGAATTCACTCATTACGGCAGGGAACGGTCTACTAACTCAATATCGGTGTTGTGGTAAGATATCTTTGGCAACGACTAGTCGTTTTGTGGCTTCCATCTAGCAGACAACTGATGATCATGGCTAAGCCATCGAAAGCTGCTTTTGAATTAAAAAACATTGTTGGCAATGACAACATCTTTAATTATCTACTAACTCAATTCTCCGGTGTATGGTATTGCCGTGTTTCAAATTATCCGTGTCATTATTTCGGTTAATCTACCACGAAACACACAAAGTGCGTTGAGGAAGTCGCTGCTGGTTGGATCATTTCGGTACTTCGACGCTGGTCGCTGCTATGTGTAGCCATATGAGGATGGAGGAATCAACCCACTACTCGGCTCTCCCCGGCCCGTTGCTTAAGGAACTGCTCTGCCATCCACCTCGATTGATTAGTGATTCAGCGCGTCGACTGCTAAGGTCATTAGTTCTGTAAGTGGAGTACTTTTTTGTCGCAAGCTGCATGGGGAGGTTCGGTGCCGACCTACTGCGGTAACTCTCACCAACGTGGCAGCCGGGGCAATCTTTAAGCCCTCGACAAGTCATGAAGTATAGTGGGAGTGTAAGTAAGGGGTGAGTGTAGGACAAAGAAAGGGAAGCAAAGAGAGGTCCGTGGCCCCTTTGTTAGGTTAAAGCTCCGGCATTTGCCTGGTGGAGATCGGAAAAGTCACGGATCAGATCAACCGGCCGCTCCAATTCTCCTCCAGACAGCGGCTAAATTCAACGCAGATATGTACGTAGTGTCGAAAATCCTGCCATCGTCGGGACTCAAACTTTGGGACCTCCCTGTCGGAGGCTCTGCAGTAACATAAGTTGAGCCACCACTGACAGTCATCCACCTCGAATTAATCGGAGGAAATCACGTAAACATCGATCTGAGATGTTGACCGCTAGAAGTTACAGACAGTGGTTTACTCCGAGTCAGCTATGAAGGTGGTGTAGAAAATCCGCGCACTGGTTAAAACCGAAACCAGGTCCTCCCTGCCTACGAAACGCCTGTTGCGTACTCGCACTATGATTACAATTGAATTAGATTAGTAAAGTATACTGATATACAAGTTATTTCGTCAATATCAAATACGGTATGTTTATTTAATTCACGCCCTGCATCATTATTTTCCGTTGTTTTTTAATAATTTCGGACGCGTTTTTTGGTCGTTCTCCTCCGCTGGAATGAGAGGTACTACGCCGACCTACTCGTGCGGGCAGGAAGACTTCCCCCCTCCAGGCACCCCCCCCCATTGCTCGTGATCCGTTCTTTAGCGCATTGCTCCGTCATTCGGCAGGCATTGATCGGAGAAACTTCGTCAAGCTATCGATCCTAGAAGCTAGTATTCTCCCCCCAATTCTCCTCCAGCTACTTTTCTTAGTATTCGGTCCTTGTACCAGTCTCATGATTTATGACACCCATGTTGTGAAGTCTTAAGGTGCTCTTAGGAGATCTATGCCATCCACGTTGTGTCCACAACACATATTGTCCACATAGCGTTTCAAGGATTTGAGAAAATAATCTTAAAAAGATTTGTCGGTACACCATAACCACGTTTACTTATATTCGGGGGCATAAAGTAATCTGAGAATTAAATACAAGCTCTACTTGGCATAAGGAATATTTCACGCTTTCTGTGCGAAACTACAATATTGGTGAAAATAATAAATAATTATTTTTGCCTTGCTTCATCTGGAAGTAGAGTTCCCATTTCCCAAAAGGCCTACCAGCAGCGCAGCCCCCTCGGCCATGGTCGCGGGGCGTCTGAGCCAAGAAGTCCTCCTGAGAAACCTTTTTCTTTTTACTTCTACTTTTTTAATTGATTTATTGTACGTGAAAAACAATTAAAATATGTGAGAGGCGTGCTATGGGGAGAAGTGAATTCTGGAGACGTTGTCATAATTCTGTGATCCCTACGCTAAGTCATATACTAGTTGAATTTGGAATACATAAAGAAATGAGTGTTTTTGCAAGGATTGTTAACAAAATATTCGCTTCAGTGTAATCAAATCTATTTTCAAGGGTAAATATGGGCTCTTATCCCTCATCATGTCCTTCCTGAAGGAATAGTACTTTCTACGGCGACAACATGGAGAACGATAATTTGAATAACCATATTTCCCACTAAATTCTAGATAACGTGCCCAGTTAATAAAGTTACATTTACATTTATGTGCAAAAGTAAAACAAGAGGACATCTCAGCATTTGCTCAAAGAATCAGGGCAACTGGACGAACAACCTGATCGAGATGAGGGTTATTGACCCCATACGTCCTCAGTTCGCCGTAGGATTGGGGAACGGGGCAGGTCCTTCGCCTAATGCACATGAAATAACATCTTTTCCGCGTGCGAAGTACGAGGAAAGACATTAGTTATCGCCAAGGCATCATGGTCATCTTCTCAACGAAGGCTGTATAAACAGCGTTCGCTACGACTGAGCACATGAACTGACTGAAGTATTGTCAGTTATTATGCCATATTTCAACTTTTACAATATTGTGTTTATGCAACTTTTTCACACCAAAAAATGTAATTGTAAAATTGTTCCTTGTATTCAGTTAATGTTTGTTTTGCAAAACTTCGCACAATTCTGGGACAAATGTTCAAATATACGATAAAAATTTACACTGTTGTAAAGGTTAGGTGAATAAGTATGTCAGCATTTCGTTTAAAAACGACTCTACATTTATGTGAAATGAGTTTCGTGCCCCGATCTTTGGGGAAAAAAGATGAAACAGAGATTACTAACACTACTCTTGCATACATTTCGTAATTTCCTACACGGACATGCAAACTTCACGCCTTAAGAAGCTCACCATAACTCTGATTCATAATGAATCATAATTCTCATAAAACTGTCGCAGTAAGCGTTGTGATACGGTAGAATTAAACAGTTCGAAGTAAAGCTGTCGGGTTAATGTACCGCACGTGGTCAAAAACACTAAGTTTGATAATACTTGAACTTTTTTATTTCTCCGTCTACCACAATTCTTCCCACAGTCATATTTCTAAATGTTGTTATCATATTTTCATACTTGACCTATTTGTCGCAGATCCTAACACATAGAGAAGAAGGTGGTTAATATAAGTCCACACTATTATTTGGACTTTTAAAAAAAATAGTTAAAAGAATTATTTTTAAAACACGGCATATTTTAAGGTTTAAGTTATAATAAATGTAAACTTCAAAATTTGTGTAAACTACATACAAAATTTGAACTATTTTAACTGCTCATAAAGTAGTTAATTCAATAATTCAGCAGAAGTCATATTTGAATAAAAAAGTTATGTGCTGGTATAATAATATATTAATTAATACATGGGTTTAGAGAATCAAATTACATATTTTCAAATGCAAATGCTATTTTATTACAAAATAATATTAAATAAATAAAAATTATTTACAAAAATCACAAATGTAAATGCCCTTTTTGGTCCCAGCATAGTCATTTTGCGCCCACATTTCACACTATTTCCTGGACCCACAGTTCTGCACGGTGGTCAGGTGAAAGTCCACAAACAAGGCTTTTGGCCATCACAGGTATTTTCAATCCCTACTAGTAATTCTAAAACAGACACACCTGAATGAATAGAATAGCCTGATTCTTCCGATTTCTCGTCTTCAAAAAGTTTCCGTTTGAAGCCTTGCTCATGTACGGTTTGGTTTTCTTATCAGTCTGTTTCGTGCTCTTCGCTTTTCCATTTTTACGTTGCTATTGTTGTTTTGTGTCTGCAGATACATGTTTTTTTCTTCAGTCGCAAAACCTCATTGTAAGTAGATAATGTGATAAGGAGTGCCTTTGAAACTAAAATATGCTTGTAGCGATTTTTAAAATGATCGAACTAATCCCTATAGGCCAATGCGTTTTCTGTGAATAGGTGTTTAGTTCATTTTCTTTCACAAGTTGGTAAGCTACCCTGCAAAAATATTTTCTGGTGAGACTGTAGAATTTACTTACCATGATAAACAAGTACTCGACTCCTTTTCTAGTTAATTCCCCAGTATACGTATTCTTCTCGATTTAGTTTAAACTGATTCCTCCGAATGTTTATGAACACGAAAAACCAGCCTGAAGAAATTTCTTGGTACGAGAAAATTTCATGGAAGCCTTTTTCAAATCCATTTCCTTGCTCTTAACTGCTTTGCCTTAACCATGTCTTCAGTATTACAGTTTCTTGTTTTGGGCCCAGAACCTATCGTGGCTTCTAAAAACAATAGTACGGGCACAAGTTGTAGTGTATGTAATAAGAGCCCCTTAAAGTTCGGGACTTATCTACCCACCATAGTTACAACCATTGCTATATTAAAATTCAGGAAACCAAAACTGCTCTTTGTTACTTTCAAACTTATCGTTTGAAGTTATAAAAGCAATATTTAAAACATATTGTATTTAATTCATTAGAAGTTAGAATCGGTCTAAGCGAACTGAAACTGTAATTAAAAGCCAGACTTACCTTCCAAAAGTTTTAGAACCGAGAAAACACGAAACGTCTGATACACATCAGCTCTTATTTACAACTGAACCATAGAACTATGATGGCAAAAAGTGTTACGAAACTAGTAGTTAAAATCGTTTCTGTTCGAGTGTTTGCGATGCATGAATATATATTAATGGGTCTCATATTGCATACAGGGTACATTATCACCTTTATCTTTACGTATACTAAAATAAAACAAGTCTTGATACCTATTAAAGTTTTTACATATTTTTCTAAATTTATAGAAAAATGACAAAATATCCGTACCATGGAATTACCAGAATGATCATTTCATGTTTTTTTATAAAATGTTTACACAAATTCATCACACCATTCATACCACATATATTACAAATCTGAGTATATCTGAGTACATA